CTGGCCTGTACCCTGCTCCCCCACCTGTGCCCCACTCTCCCGGCCTGTACACCTCCTCTCCCTGGCCTGTGCCCAGCTCACTGACTGGCCTGGGAGCCTCAAGTAGCTGTGGCAGGGCACCTTCTGAGGGGTCGTGTGGTCCCTCTCCCCCAGTACTCCTATGAAGGTGACGAGTATGGTGACACTGAGCTGGACTTCTCTGTGGTCTGGGATGGAGATTTCCCTATCGACAAGCCTGCCACCTTCCGAGGTGAGGGGCAAGATGGGGCGTAGGTTCCCGACCAACATGGCTCACTGGTTGAGCGTCAGCCTATGAACCAGAAGGTTCAATTCCCGGTCAAAGGCAGATGCCCAGGTTGCGGGCTCTGTCCCCAGTGGGGGGGGCATGCAGGAGGCAGCCAATTAGTGATTCTCATCATTGATATTTCTCTCTCTCCCTCTCCCTTCCTCTCTGAAATCAATAAAAATGTATTTTAAAAAAAAGATGGGGTGGAGGAGCTTGCCTCCTGGGGCAGAGTTGGCATGAACTGGGGCCAGGTCTAACAGGGGGACCCTGAGTGGCCCTGGCTCCCCATAGCTGCCCCCAGCAGTGCCCCCTGTGTCTGCAGCTATCCTGTATAAATGCTGGGCACAGCGACCCAGCTGCGGCCTCTGCCTCAAGGCCGACCCCCGCTTCAACTGTGGCTGGTGCATCTCGGAGCACAGGTGCCAGCTGCGTGCCCACTGTCTGGCCCCCAAGACCAACTGGATGCACCCGAGCCAGAAGGGTACCCGCTGTAGCCACCCCCGCATCACCCAGGTGAGCCTCTCACACCTTCCGCATACAAGACACCCAGCGGTCTGGCTCACCCTCTCACCTCCTGTCCTGCTCTGCAGATTCACCCACTCATGGGGCCCAAGGAGGGAGGCACCCGAGTCACCATCGAGGGTGAGAACCTAGGCCTCACCTACCGAGAGGTAGGCCTTCGGGTGGCCGGCGTGCGTTGCAATTCCATTCCCGCTGAGTACATCAGCGCCGAGAGGTGAGTGTGGCTGGGCGGGCACCCAGGCTGCTGCTCCGAGGCTGGCCCTGACCTTCTCTGTCCCCTAGGATCGTGTGTGAGATGGAGGAGTCGCTGGTGCCCAGCCCACCGCCGGGGCCCGTGGAACTGTGTGTAGGCGACTGTTCTGCCGACTTCCGCACGCAATCAGAGCAGCTCTACAGCTTTGTGGTGTGTGAGCCGCCCGGCCCTTCCCACACCCACCCCCTGTGAGGGCGCGCGACCCGCACTGGGCTGCCTCCTCCCTCCCCTCAGGGCTGCTTCTCCCACAGACCCCGACATTCGACCGTGTGCGTCCCAGTCGGGGCCCAGCTTCTGGGGGCACGAGGCTCACCATCTCTGGAAGTTCTCTAGATGCCGGCAGCACGGTCACAGTGATCGTGAGAGATGGCGAGTGCCAGTTTGTGAGGTGGGTAGGGCCCTGCCAGTCTTGGGATGGGCATTTGGTTGCCCGGTGAGGGCCCTGGGCCACCTACTCAAAGCTCTCCACTTGCCATGTAGGAGGGATGCCGAAGCAATCGTGTGTATCTCGCCCGTTTCCACCCTGGGCCCCAGCCAGGCCCCCATCACCCTGGCCATTGACCGTGCTAACATCTCCAGCCCCGGAGTTCTCTACACCTACACCCAGGACCCTACTGTCACTCGCCTTGAGCCCACCTGGAGTATAATCAAGTAAGACTCTAGAGAAGAGAGAATGGGTCCCCAAGCTCCTGTCCTGGGGCCTTGCCTGATGGCTGGGCCCTTGGGCATCAAATTATACCTCCTCTAAGCCTGATCCCTTAGCCAGGCCGGTGTGGCTCAGTGGTTGAGCATCGACCTATGAACCAGGAGGTCACGGTTTGATTCCCGGTCAGGGCACATGCCTGGATTGTGGGCTCGATCCCCAAGTAAGGGACACGCAGGAGGCAGCCAATCAATGATCCTCTCTCATCATTGATGTTTCTATCTCTTTCTCCCTCTCTCTCCCTCTCTGAAATAAATAATAAAAATTTATTAAACCTGGGCCCTTATGGGCAGAGGGGGCAGGGTCCTCCTGACACAGAGCACCTGGCACCCGCGCAGCGACCTGAGTTGTAGGAGGCCCTAGGCTCCCACTGCAGCCTTCATAGCTCTCCAGGGCTGGGCTGGGGGCATTGGGGGGCAGAGTCTGAGGCCCCTCCTCCCTGTCCCCAGCGGAAGCACTGCCATCACTGTCAGTGGAACCCACCTGCTGACAGTCCAAGAGCCCCGGGTCCGGGCCAAGTACCGAGGCATCGAGACCACCAATGTGAGTGCCAGCTGCCCTCGCCCCGCCCCTGCCCCGGCCATGCATGGTCTCATGTGCTGGACTGCCCGCCTTTGTCCACACAGACGTGCCAGGTTATCAACGACACTGCCATGCTGTGTAAGGCCCCTGGCATCTTCCCGGGGCGGCCCCAGCCACGGGCCCAAGGCGAGCACCCTGATGAGTTTGGTTTCCTGCTGGACCATGTGCAGACAGCCCGCTCCCTCAACCGGTCCTCCTTCACCTACTACCCTGACCCCAGCTTTGAGCCACTTGGGCCCTCCGGCGTCCTGGATGTCAAACCTGGCTCCCACGTGGTGTTGAAGGTGCTGGTGGGGCACAGGGGCTGGGAGGGGCGGCGGGGGGGAGCCCTGGCTGACCGTGCCCTCCACGCACAGGGCAAGAATCTGATCCCCGCGGCAGCAGGCAGCTCCCGCCTCAACTACACCGTGCTGATTGGGGGCCAGCCATGTGCACTCACCGTCTCGGACACGCAACTCCTGTGTGACTCACCCAGCCAGACGGGCCGGCAGCCTGTCATGGTGGGTAGGGGGTGGGAAG